CTCTCTCTCTCTCTCTCTCTCTCTCTCTCTCTCTCTCTCTCTCTCTCTCTCTCTCTCTCTCTCTCTCTCTCTCTCTCTCTCTCTCTCTTTCAAGCTAAGCTATGGTGGGGGTTGCCGTTGACTACTGTGCTCCACTGCTCTCAGTCACACTTGGCACTTGGTAGCATCAGACTGTGATGGTGCTTCTGCAGCAAGCTCAGATGCACATTCTGTTGATGCTTTGCTGCTGCTGGACTTTGTACTTCGCTGCGGTTTCCAATTTTGGACTTTTCTAGACTGATACCTGCTCTTGCCAGGGATGGTCGGCCTTCAATGCATCGGAAAGTTTTACTTACTTTCTCGGGATTGCGCTGCCCGACTGGGTTGGACTGAATGACTAGACTGACTGGAATGACAAACCTGCTGTACCTAATGGACCTACCAGCCTACGGGACTGGGCCTGACTATCCTACCTAACAGACAGGTACTATGGTACATGGGACTTTGGACCTTTGGGACGCGGAGTGGAACTTGGACGGTGCGATGTGTCAAATCCTTTCACTTTCTCTTATCGAGTTTTTTTTTTTTCCCGAAGAACCATTGCCGCCTGCTAGAGGGGGTGATAGGAGCAGCCTGGAGAACTGGACATTCCTAACCTTTCTCGGCATCGCCCTCTCTCCATGAGGACTTGCGATACTTGTGACCATACCAACAGGGAGGGCACCTTCGCAATATGCATGTTACTCTCAAGAGGACGGGAAAAACAAAGAAAGAAAATAACTTCAAGAAAGAGTTTGTCAAAACAGATGAGATCCTCCCCTCCCCCCCCCCAATATGCATTGTTTTATGAAAACAAAGTGTCAAGATTGGGAGAATTTGTGACATCATTCTGAACCCTCATCGTACTTGCACATCAGGGAGCACATGCACTCGGCGAATCCAACGAGCACTTGAACAGTTAGTTGCAATCACAAGTTTGGGATTATATACTACCATCTTCCCCTGGACACAACACCCACTCATCATGAATGGGGGATACAAGCTATTAACTCCGGTCGACGGTCGTGTACATTCATACTGAGGGTGCAACGTTTTCGGCGGAAGGCGATAGGGGGACACCAGGTAGTCACAAGTCTGGGGGGGTGATTGCCGAGGAAAGTCTGTTTAGCTCAGGGCCTTGAGCCCTGCCAGCAAAACAAAAAAAAAAGGATTGTTTGAATTTTCTTTTCCTATTTGGACCCTTGGCAGTGGTGAGGGGTGGGTTAGCTGACACCATGGCGGGTGACAAATGGCTGAGTGCTTGATGTTTTCAATAGGCTTGTATGAACATACACCCAATGTGTCTATAGAAACTTAGAAAATAAATATGGGTGTTTTTACTTATGCGGATGTGCAGCACAGAAGGGGAAGAGGGGGGCGGGGGGCGGGGAGGGGGGGTCCAGATATGCCTAGAAGGAAGAACACAAAGGTTTCTGTCTATGAACATGTATGTAGGAATGAAGACCTACTTTATAGTGTTGAGATTATGCATGATTGTGATAACTCTAGGAAGGGGGACTGCTAACTTTCGTTGTTGATTTTTTGTTTTGACTTTGGGTGTTTACTTGGTCTTTTTTTACTTCGGGTGCTGGAGATAGACTGTTGTAATTGAGCACAGTTGGATCCGAAATCTGCTCATGGCTTGATGGAGCGACTTCGCTTTGTCTTGCCCCACATGCTCCTTCGATTGAATTCCTCGTTTGACTTCAAAGTCAACAGTCAAGTCCTTGTTTGACTTCAATATTCTTCTTTGCTTTGCCTTATGCTTCTTTGCTTATTTGACTTCAATGTTTATTAGACAGACAAATATTTGGAAGAGCTTTCGGATAAGATTCCAGAAGCAACAGCCGAGACACAGACAGATCCATTCATGGACCGTCCTCTCACACCATTGTACATTCCTCAAAAAACAGGGCTTGATGTCGCCACACAGGTACACATCCCCACACCTTTAAGATAAGCTTCCACTTCGGATAAAATTCTAGAAGGAACAATCGAGACACAATCAGATCCATTCACAAGATTTCTACAAAGTCTTTCACACACGCACTTGTGGTGGATGAAAAATGCTAAGTTCTGTTTAGGACTTCAAGGATTTCTCATATTGAGGGCGACATGGGAAATATATAATGCGATAGAATTTGTCTAACTTATATTGTTACGTGGTTGTTTCAACTTATTGAATCTGAACTCAACGTATTTTATTCTCAAGAGGCACACACATCATTAGTGAGTCTTTTGAAATTGTGAAAGCTCTAGTGTGATCTCTACTCTATGAATTGGTGGCAACTTTGGTTTAAATGACCCTTGGGTTTTGTTATAAGTAGTATGAGAATATGAAAACCGAGGCCTCCTGCTTTCTCTTTTCGTTTTTTGTCACGAGACATATACATACATACATACATGCATACATACATACATACATACAAAACATTTACACGCAATACATGTAAACATAAAATTACTCACAATACATACATACATAGCACATACATACATAGTACATACATACATAAGTGTATAAATAAAATTACTCACAATACACACGTACATCACATTACATGCAATGCATACATACAATGCATACATACAATGCATACATACAATGCATACATACAATGCATACATGCAATGCATACATACAATATATATATACCATGGCTACGCTTGACCCGGACCCGGACCCGGACCCGGACATTTCCGGACATGGAACTGGAACTGTGTCCGGTAGTTTCCGGATGTCCGAAATTCCGGACATTTCCGGACCTCCGGACATGGGGGAATCTGGACGGTCCGGATGTCTGGACAGGTCCGGAAATGTCCGGACCATTAAAAATAAATAAAAATAAAAAAATCTGAAAAAAAAGTATGCTATGCAGAATAACAATGCAAACCACTTTTGGCTCAGAGTCATGTGAGAATTCCTAACCAAACTTGAGTTACAAGTCAAAAACTATAAAAAAGCTTAAAAACAAACTTTAAAAACTAATAAAAGGTAATGAATTATTAATAATTAAAAAATTGAGGTTGTTTAATAAATTATTATAGAGAGAGAGCATGTTCGGACCCCCCAAAAAAGCATAAACGGGCCTGAAAAACCCCCAAAACAATTTTGGGGGCTTGGCTCCTCAATGGGGAAGGGTCCTGGACCGTTTTTTTCTTTTTCTTTTTCCCCTCGAATTTTGGCAGATCTAGATTTTCCAAACCGGACGTCTGGAGTCCGGACTGAATCCAGACCGTCTGGACGGCGGTCCGGACGTCCGGAACGTAGCCATGATACATACATATATAACTGTGCATACAACAATCATACATAACATTACATTTACATTCACATTCCTTAAATATAACATTTGCATGACATTACGTTTGTACTAAATTACGTAGTACATACATAACATGATATTACACTAAATTACAATATACATACATTTATTGCTCTAAATTACACTGTACGTACATAAAATTACGTTGTACTAAATTACATAGTACATACATAGCAGTATGTTGCACTAAGTTACAACATACATACACATTAAATTACATGATTGTTACATTCATACCACTATATTTATAGTCCTTAATATATCCTTTACTATTTATAATCATAATATTTACATTATATTTTTATACAGTGCATATAACAATCATTTTCTTAAAATAAAGATTTTTTAGATAAGGTACGAAATTAAAATGACTTCAAATTGTAAGGTTAGTTTAACCAATTTTGAGAGTTTTGTTGTGAGGACAGAGGATCTTGGTCCTTGAAAATTAACCTTCCTAGTTGCCTTTAACAACTTAATTCACTCATTTTAAATAATTACAAATTCTGCAATCAATTTTAAACTTTGTAAAATATTTATTATGTTTTAATAAAGTTATAATTTTATGTTACATTTAAATTATGATTTAGTTATATTTAATTATAATACATTAATATTACATTACATCATATAAAATGCCATTACATTTATATTTACATTTTATTATTGTTTACATTTGATTTATACTAGATTAAGATGGTATTTACATCGCATCATATTACATGAGTAGATACACAAACATGTATATATTCAAACACAAATAGCCATACACACATACATGACAAGCCAAACATAGGTTTGTTTGTATGTGCATGCATATGTAAGCACATGCCCATGTACTATGTATGCATAGTCTTATAAGCTTTTCGTTAAAATTTGGAACAATACGTAAAGAGGCTAAAAATATTACCGATGTAATATTGGCATCCATATGTATATATACGTGCACATATTGTACATATGTGCATATAGACGCACACATAGATGCACACATATATACATATATATGATCATGAATATGTAAGCATATACCCATGTACTTTGTAACATATGATTTTCGTAAAACCTGGAACAATGCGTAAAAAAGTTGCATATATTATCGACTTAATATTGACATCCATATGTATATCCGTATGCACATTCTGTACATATATACATAAAGAAGCACATATAGTTGCACACATATGTATGTATGTATGATCTTTGGGACAACTGTCAAATAGCAATACAAAAAAGAGAAGATTAACACGACTCCATGAAAAAATGATAATCACAAACCTAGGAATTTTTTGAAATTTATTTAATTTTTTTATTGTTTTTATAAATTTACTTTTTACTTTTCGACCATTATTGGAAGTTATCCTGTTTTTCTCCTTTCTTTCTCATCATTATATGAATAAAAACCACTTTCTTTCCTCTTCCTTTTGTAAAAGTTTCAGAGTTTTTTGCCATTTTGTTATTGTTCACGTTTTTTTTTTCGATAGCCATTTTTATTTCTTTTGTCCTTTTATCAATTTTTAAAATAGTTTTTCCATTTTTCTCCTTTCTGTTCCAATTTTTTCATTTTTCTCCTTTCTGTTCCAGGGTTAATACAAATTGAACTTTGTTGAATTGACTTTCTGTTATCCTTTCGGTTTGAGGCTTAATACAAATGGAGAGCACATAGATAGTAGTTACATACTTCCTCTCTATTATTCCTTAATGTTTGGGATTTCTTACAGTGGGAAACACATAAATACACACTTATTCTCATTTTTGTTCTCCATTTTACTTTCGAGTTAGTAAAAACTCAAAACACATAGATACACACTTGTTCTCGTTTTTGTTCTCATTTCTAATTCGGGTTTGCTACAAACGAAAAGCACATCAATACACATGTCTTCTCCTTTTTATACTTGTTTCTAACCTTCTTTCTCTTCTTCTTCTATTCTTGTTTCTGTATTTATTTTCGTTTTTTCTGTTATGGGTTTTCTTCTCCTTTCTGTTTTAAGATTAATACAAATGAAAATAATCATATAGGTACACATGTACATTTTTACAAATGAGAGTTGTTTCTTCGCTCTTTGAACTTTTATAAAATAATTTTTATAGGTTCTCTATTTTCCTCCTTTTTCTCTTCGGGGTTAACACAATACAAACGAAAGGCATGTTTATAATATGTTGTTGAGAGAAAACCAACATACATTCAATGGTGTATTGTCCAATGATGTGTTATTCCCTATTTTCCTCCTTTGTCTCTTCGAGGTTAATACAATACAAACAGAAGGCACATTCAATAACGTGTTTTTCTATCGAATTCTCAAAGCTTTTTTATTCAATTTTTTATGCTTCCTACCAGTTTAACTGATCAATCAATGCTTTCAAACCCTTTTCTCCTTCCCACTTTCACACATTCTCCTTTCATCCAATCTCCTCTCGTGACAATTTATAAATACAGATCGAAGAGGGTGACTTATTCCACTTTGACATTGAGGTTGAGCCCATACTGGAGGTGCTTGTTGGAAAGACACTTGAGCAAGCTCTCATGGAAGTACTGGAGGAGGAAGAATTGGCAGCAATGCATGCTCATCAGGTGGATAAATCGAGGAGCAATATAGGTCAATTTGCTCAATTTATTTAATATGATACATTCTCAGTTTCACTGCTTCTAATCGTGGACCATAGATTGCAATGCTAAGGTCCTCAAACAATCACTTAGTGGGAAAGAAAGTGATTGAGCAATTACAACAAGGAGGTGGGCTATTCCAGAAGTTCTGGATTGTATATGCTGTCGCACCCATTGGAATTGTTTGCATGCTTTGCCTTCTTGTTGCATACAGCAAAGCAGTGAGGGAATTCAAAAAAAAAAAAACAAAAAAAAAAACACTATACATGGACGTCTCCCAATGGCTAATATCATTCACAAACCTGCTCTCTCTCTCTCTCTCTCTCTCTCTCTCTCTCTCTCTCTCTCTCTCTCTCTCTCTCTCACCTCTTACCTACCCACCCATCCAACCTTTTTACCATGTTCTCTACCGACCACTCACCCATGCTCCTTTCTTTTTCTGTCTCTCTCTGATCTCCCTCCCGTTTGTTTCTACATGGCATGAGCTCATCTCCAGGCCTTTTCTAGCTCCATTCCCATCTGAAATGGTTTTCACCTCTACAGTAGCAGATGCAGATCCCAGGGCTCGATCCCTAGACCTTGGCCCCACCCGTGTACAGTACCAAGTCGATCCCTGTGTATTTGAACCCGTGATCTGTGTTTTGGAAGTCGTCTGTTGTCTGTTGCAGGTTAGTGTGGTTGTCGGGTCTTTGAACCGTAGGTCTGTCAAGTAGGGATCGTAGCTGTGTAGAACTCGTAGCTGCTACAGTCCGGAAAGGTCAAGGTCGTAGCTGCTACAGTCCCGAAAGGCCAAGTCTACAGACTTCCGGAAGGTCCGGAAATGGCCTTTCGAGAATTGCTCAGGTTAGGCTAGAGGCAAGTGGGCAGTCCAACCTTGCCTAGTCAGCGGTACCCAGTCCCAGTCGCACTTTGTCCAGTCAGCAAGTACCATGTGGGACTGGTGCACCCTAGGCCCGGTGGAAAGGAGCAGACCAGTGACCAACCGAAGGATAAATCAAGAGGCAGCGTCCAGTTATTCATTCATTCAGCCTGTGAGCCGTGCGGAAGCGCTGCCTGAGCGACTTGTGCAAGGAGGTCTGCAGGTGCCCGAGGGAGAAGAGGGGAGTGAGGGAGACGAAGCGGCCATAGCCGGTAGTAGCAGGGAGTAGGAGGCGACCATAGCTGCCGCAGATAGCAGTAGGCTGTAGTGTACCTGTGTGAAGTGAGTTGTGTGAAGGGTGTGAGCGTGTGTGGGACATCCACGGAGATCCAGAGTGACGTGCGTGCGAACAGTTGCTGAGGACACACTATCGGGTGTGCAGAGTGAGGGCGCTCAGGCCCATAGCCACTGGAAGCGAGTTTGAATCTGAACTGTGTTCTTGACCTCGATATCTCTGAGTTTTGTGTGGGCTCCTGGCGCCAGTGTGATCGACATCTGTTTTCTTGCATGCGGAGTGAAGCAGAAGATGCGTCTGGTTGCGCATCTCTGCTTCCCCATATCGTTCCAACTTTCCCGATTACATCCTAAGCACATGGAGTCACACACGTACTTCAATGCAAAACCAAACCGAAAAACCATGGAAGCTCAAACCGGAAACCAAATTGGAAACCAAACCACAAACCGGACCAGAAACTGGACCAGAAACCAAACCAGAAAGTGGCAGAAACCGACCAAGAACCGAACCAGAAACTGGACCAGAAACCAAACCAGAAAGTGGCAGAAACCGACCAAGAACTGAACCAGAAACTGGACCAGCAACCAAACCAGAAACTGGACCAGAAACAGACCAACAACCGAACCAGAAACTGGACCAGAAACCAAACCAGAAAGTGGCAGAAACCGACCAAGAACCGAACCAGGAACCAACAGGTCGTGGGTCTTGGGACAGGTCCAGGTCCTGGAACTGGGAAAAGCTAAGAGGGTAATCAGTAGTTGGTATGAGAAAGGTTGGCATCACGAAGATGGGGCGTCTCTCTACTGAGGGACCAAGTGGCAATAAACGGACACTTCCTCCACACTTTTCTGAACCAGGTCCTTTCGTCTGAACCAGGGTCATGCTATCCGAACGAGGTCCTGTCCTCTGGCATCTGAACAAGATCCTGTTGTATGAACCAGGTCCTTTCGTCTAAACCAGGTCTTGTTGTATAAGCCAGGCATACTGGTCTGAGGCAGGTCCCATTGTCTGAACCACGTCCTGCCAGTTGAACGATGTCAGCCCGTCTGAAGCAGATCCTAAATTCCTAATATGACATTCCACCTCCATACGGCCTGAATGGTATAGTTTGTGGACCTTGCCTGGTTTTCGGGTAAAAAAAAAACTTAAAAAAAAAGACCTTTCCCGTCCTGCATTTCTTTATATAGAGATGGTGGTCACTCAGATGCAAGATAACGAAGGAGAAAGGGGAGAACTACGTTAAGTTCGTTAACCTATTGCCCCCTGTTTTAATTGCAGCTGCTTGTTGGCATCCTCTCTCTCTCTCTCTCTCTCTCTCTCTCTCTCTCTCTCTCTCTCTCTCTCTCTCTCTCTCTCTCTCTCTCTCTCTCTCTGTGTGTGTGTGTGTGTGTGTGTGTGTGTGTGTGTGTGTGTGTGTGTAGCCTACGGGGTCATAGTGACGCTGATCGGCATATATGCACTTGGTTTGCAGTAAATTCTTTTCGTGGGCAACTACTTTTTGAAGATTTTGTATGTGTTTCCTTCATACAATGGAACATCCCCGTCATCCCAAATGTTTGGCGAATTTTTTTTGTCAATGGGAATGAGAGTTGGAAGTTCCTTCTTTAAGAAAGGGCGGCGGCCTTGAGCCAACCTGGCCCCAGGTAATTCACAATTAATGTTATTCTGTTCATCTCATTGTTTCTGGATCTGAACTTGGGTCTGTCTTTGAGCAGTTCATGAAGAATACCAAATGAGCTAGGCCCACTGATAATGAGAGTTAAAGAGTTTTAAAGGTGGGGCTCTCGAAAAATTGTCCACCCCTCTGAGGGCCCACCCTTTGGTCTGGTGGCCCTCCTCGTGCACAACTGCAAATTTAGTAATTTACTAATTTAGGTAAAGCTGGGGCCAAAAGTGGTGGTTTAACTTTGCTCTACTTCCGCACTAGGAATTTCAAAATTTAGTTTGATTTTGAAGTTTGAATTTAAAGTCTGACTTTGACTTTGACTTTCACGAATGCAGGAGCATTTTGAACAAATACGAAATGCAGAGCTTGTAGCTGTGCAGCGTATGGAAGCTGCGGAAATCAGAAAACTTGAGGAGAAGGAGCGACGAATTGCTCAGGAGAAACAACGACTCATACACGAAAAGATCGCAAAGGAAAAGGTAAACAGAGTTGGGAGTCCTGAACCTTGTGAGAAATAGTGATACATATTATAAATTCAGTCAATTTATTTAATATAAGAACTCAAGACCCTGCAGCCAATGGCTGCGGCACAGCGGGCATGCAACTCTCTCTCTCTCTCTATCTCTCTCACACACACACACATACACACACACACACACACACACAAACATACACATATGCGTGTGTGCATGGCATGAGGCTCTCTCTCTGTTGCTCTCTCCCCCCCCCCTCTGTGTCAAACCTCAGGTGTAACAACTTATATGTGTGCACATGTGTGTGTGTCTGTGTGTGTGTGCGCACGTGTACGTGTGTTTGTCTGCGTGTGCGAGAGTGTGTGTGCGTGTGTTGGTGTTTGTGTGTGAGTGCATGCGTCTGTGCACCATGTTTCTACCTGTCAAGCCGATCTGAACGCTTGGAAATTTGACCATTTTCGGGCCATTTGGCCATTTTGGTCTTTGGGCCATTTTTGGCCCATTTGGTCCATTTTTGGTCCATTTGGCCCATTCGAGCCACTTCTGGATTTGTTTGCATGTAATCCTACTTCATGGGGTAAGGTCCTTTGGTACTGTACGGATGTTGGATATGGTAGGGGTCAGGGGTCAAGGCTGCAGCAAAGTTCCGTACATGTTGCCGAGCCCGGCACTGTCGTACGTACGTCGTACGTGTAACATGCTTTGCAGTAGGGTGTCAAATTTAACAGGGTTGAAGGTCAGGAAAGTTGGGTACAATATTTGTCATTTGAGTCATGAATCTCATGATTGACTCATTTCTTTCTTCTATACCCTTCTTTAAGTTCTTTTCCTTTTATTTCAATTACAGAAAAGCGGAACTTGGAGAAAACCCCAATTTCCTGTTTGCCTAATTTGTTGTGTCGTATCCTGTAGGGCTCGAAGGATTCTCTGCTTTGAAAAAAAAAAAAAAAAAAGGACAGGGATTCTGCTGCCAAAATTTGGCAGGGGGGGAACGCATCTGTTATGGCCTTGGGTCTCCAAATCAGGTTCCTTGCATCGAGGGCTTTCATGGATATCAAAGAGTGCTGATGGCGTACAGGGGAATAAAACAGTGCACCCTTCAGTCAGGGGGGGGGGAAGGGGGATGATTGGGATGAGGGGTCCATAATAACCCCCTCATTGAGGGGGGGGTATCGTTTATAGGACGCAGTAGTCATGGGGTCAGTGAATCGGCATGCAGGGGGGTGGTCGTAAACCACCAGTACATGGACCAGTTATTTTGTTCAATGTGGGCGTATCCGGCGTAATCGTGCCGCGACTTTTGGCGCTTGGCCTACCCGATGTGTTTGGCCGGCGGCACCAGCCAAAACCAAAAAAAATTGTGCTTCGCCGGTTCATTTTTTTCTTCTTTGGCGAGCAGCATAAATCTTCGTCGGGAAAAAGAGGCTTGATGTACTGAGAGGGGAAGAGAAGGCAGGGGAGTTGTTTTGACTTCGTTTACAAACCGAATTGCTACGTTCGTAGAATTTTGCACGAATTATGGATCGTAGTCGTAGAATTTTGCACGAATTATGGATCGTAGGAAACAAGTCCTCGTTTCGCTCCATGGGAGGGCAAGGCCATGGATGTCCTGAGAATTATACCCTATAAAACTGCTCAGCAAGTGCATTGGGGACAGCGGTTACCCTATAAAAAGCTGCTGAGCAGTCAGACGAGGAGTCATTTCGAGCAGAAGTAAACAAACAAACAAAAAAAGCGAGTAGTTAAAATTTAATGAAAAGCCTTAGTGTTTTAGTGCTCTCCTTATCCTCTCCTTATCCTACTCTCCCTACTCTCCCTACTCTCCCTAAGCGAGTAGTTAAAAAATAAAATTTAATGAAAAGCCTTATTGTTTTAGTGCTCTCCTTATCCTCTCCTTATCCTCTCCTTATCCTACTCTCCATACTCTCCCAACTCTCCCTTGGCTCTCCTTATCCTCTCCTTATCCCTAAGCTCTCCTTATCCTCTCCTTAAGTTCTCCCTGCAATCTGCCTACACTCTCCCTACACATTACCTACACTCTCCCTACACGTTATCTACACTCTCCCTACGCTCTCCCGACACTGTGTTATGATTCACAATTTCACATACGTTGTTGCCTTTTTTTAAGTTGTTTTTATCGGCCGTGCTGGGAATCGGGAAAGGAACGCAACTTTTTTTTTTTTTACGATCCGCAAACAGCAGCGGACAGCGAACGCTCGACATCAAGAAACATGCAAGGAGATGTGATAGATGTAAAATCGTTTTCATCCATTCGATACCGCTGGGAACCGGGCCCAAGCGTCCCTCGTGAAATGACAGATAAAAATTTGAAATTCCGGGGTCATCACCCAGCTTCGGCTGAGAACAACACCCACAGGCTTTTTTTTTTTTTTTTTTTTTTTGTTGAAGAGAAAACTGGGCTTGGCGTGCTAGTTGGGGCGATATTATCACCGCTGCCTAGTAACCTACCCCCACGTGCTCCGATCTATTGGGTTGGGGGAAAGAGGAGGTGGGGGGGGGGAAGCTTGTGGGTGGGAGGCTGGACCTGGTACCCACAGGGTTACATAAATTGCCCAACAACCCCAAAACGAACGCTCTCGAAAAACCAAACTCAAAACACCAAACTCGAACACGACTAAAGGAGAAGACTTCAGAAGAGAGAACTCTGTACACGAAATAGGTAATTCTCCATCACTCCCCTCTGATCTCTCTCCTCCTCTTTTTTTTTATTTTATTTTTTATTTTTTTTTTATTTTATTTATTTATTTTTTTAAATCTTTCCTCCTTACTTCGACCAACAGCTCATATTATCAATACCTGATGGACTACATTTTAATCTTAATTATGCACTACCGTCTGCTCACGAATGGGTCGTATGCGACGTATGGTCATTATAAATTTCTGTATTTGAGGCAACTTTCAGTCTATATTCAGCGATAGTGACTCTATGTTCTGTTCGGTGGATTTCCCCTCCCCCTTCCCCCCCCTCTTCCCTCTCTAGTTCCTAGCATGCTCATATTAAAAGGGGCAGGGAGGGGGGCGTGGGCGGGGGCGAAGAGTTGTGCCTGAGTGTTTCCGGCTCTTTGATTGTCTAGATGCTGACGCATGTTTGCCTTGAATGTGTTCTCTCATCTCTATGTTTCCTTAATTCCACAGCTAGCAGCGCAGACATTCTCTCGTGGATATCTCTCCGTGATCTTTGACAACGTGTTCCGCAAATTGAGGCAATCTGGACACTTCTACGACCCTGTCGAGAGAGAGGTATGCATGGCACCCCTGTATGCATGTCTACGATGACTTATCCAGTAAAAACACTGTGGGTATCAGGAACTCAGTGTCCTGGCTTGCCTGCAGGAAAACGAACCGGATTGTTGTTTCCCACCGTAAAATGGAGCTGGAATTCCATCTAGACATGAAATAACCAAGGCAACAAGAGCAGGAGGAGGAGACCAAGACAAAGACCAAGAAGAAGAAGAAGAGGAGGTGGGGGAGGAGGAGGAGGAGGAGGAGGAGGAGGAGGAGGAGGAACAAAAAGCAGCACGCACTGGACAGATTTCTCAGTTCAGTTTCTATTTGAGTTCCCAATTTCCGATGTGAATGTGACAGTTTATGAACTCTCAATCGACAACGGCAATGTGTGTAACACTTCCTTTTTTGTTTTGATTTAATTGGTATAACATATTTGTTTGTGTGAATGGAGTTTGCAGGACGGGTGCTCTGCATAACTCTGCTGCTCCCTTTCCACTTTCCTGTGCGTTTTCTTCCCTGCACCCCCCATCCAAAGGTTGTGGCGAGAAAGCAAGAGGAGGAGGCGAAGGAGGAGGAGGAGGAGGAGGGTGTTGGCGGTGTTGTTAGAGGTAGCTTGGGTGCCTAATTTTCATCAGTGGCTGGTGGAGAAGAGGAGGCGGAGGAAGAGGAGGAGGAGGAGAAGAAGAAGAAGAAGAAGAAGGAGAAGAAGAAGAAGAAGGAGAAGAAGAAGAAGAAGAAGACGAAGAAGGTGGTTGGTCGCAAAAAAAGGTAGTTTTTAGGGTGTCTGATAAGCTGATCAGAAGGTGCGGAGAGAAATGGATATGATGCACGAAAACCCAAAACCTTTAAGCCAACAAATTGCAAACGAATGACCAAATGGATCAGAAGGACTGAAAAGCAAACGAACAAACAAACAAACAAGCATGGCAAACAAAACAATGCAAAGCAGAGCGAAACAGACCAACAGAAATAAAAATGAAGTGCAACCAAAACGGATCACAATGAAACACAATGAAACAAAACACCCCACCGCCCCCCCAACCCCACCGGGCCCACCCCCGCCGGAAACACCCCACCCCAACCCCGACAGAAACACCCCACCTCGAACCACCGAACACCCCACCCCCAACCACAGCCCACCTTCACCAACACCCCATCCCCTACCAACCCCCACCATCCAAAATCAAACCATATCAAAACGAAACCAAACGAAACCAAACCAAACCAAACCAGACCATACGTTGTATTCGGGAGATGAAACCAAACCAAACCAAACCAAACCAAACCAAACGGGAGCAAACCAAACCAAACGGGAGCAAACCAAACCAAACGGGAGCAAACCAAACCGAACGGGAGCAAACCGAAACCGAACGGGAGCAAACCGAAACCAAACGGGAGCAAACCGGAGCAAACCAAACTGAATGACTTTAGCAAACAAATCAAACCAAAGACTACCTGCTTCTCCCAAATACAACATATGGTCATTATAGCTGGATTTGAGGCATCTTTCAGTCTAGATACAGCTATAATGACCATATGACGTACGTCGTACTTGGGGGAAGAAGGTAGTAGACAAAATGTAATTGAAAAATTGAATCATCATATTCATGTCGTCTTTTCGACTGGCTTGCTTGAATTGATGATCTAATTTGTGTCATTGTCTTCATGGCATTTTGTTTACAGGGTTGTCTTGAATATCAGAGTTCAGGCAGAAGACCACTTCAGCTCACTTTTGTGCCATACTGCCTAAAAATAATTCAGCTCAAAAAGCAGAAGGAACCAACCATGAGCAATTTAAAACTGTGCTTCACTTTTTGAAGCCTTTCCCGAAATCGAGACGTTCTTTGTCTTTTTCGTTTCGCCAACCTCCGCTCATCAATCTGTGGCCACTTGTGTGGAGCAGAGGACTTTCTCTTGTACACCTCCTCTCTGTGTGCGTGTGTGTGTGTGTGTGTGAGAGCGCACTCTATATGTGTGATTGTGCACATGCGGAGAGCTCATTTGGTGTGTGTGTGTGTGTGTGTGTGTGTGTGTGTGTGTGTGTGTGTGTGTGTGTGCGAGCATGTGTGCACGTCTCCTCATGTTGTGTGGGTGTTGAGTCTGTGAGGATTTCTGTGTACTTTCTTCCTCCTTCAGGCGTGTCGATTTTCAAACTTGTCCCTATTCTTTCTTCCGAGTTTCGCACGTCTCCACTTTCAAACAAGCTTTATGATGTGAAAGCCACAGTGATTCAGGGGAAGAAAAGGTAGCAATACTCGAGCAGAGCGAATATCTTTGCAACGGAGCTCTCGCGCTGCTACTTCTTCTTTCCCTGAATATAAGGCTACGCTGTCATTTTCTCTGTATCCAATGCCGATTTTCAGCTCAGATCAAAATTTGATGACCTCTTGTTTCATGTGGCCGAAGATTTGGTTGGAGTCTTCCTACGCCTGATCAATGGACATATTTTTCTTGAATGTGAAGTTGACATCATCTTTGCAGTTATGGCTTATCTGATTTACCTGTAACTTAAAATTAAATAAATAAATAAATAAATAAATAAATAAATAAATTTACCTGTTACTCTTCTTCTTCTTCTTCTTCTTCTTCTGCTTGACAATGCTCTGTTTGTTCTGTTTGGATGGGCGATCCATCCTTCTGTTGCAAGTTGTAACCCATGTGTTGCACCACCAGCACTTTTAAGTCACTTTTTCTATGATACTGAACATACCCTGCACACACAAAAAAAAAAAAAAAGAAAAAAAAAA